CGGACAAATAGACTTCAAGTAAAACATGTCTCATTTCAAATTTAAATTTAAATATTAAAATTTCTTATCATTTTGTTACATTAAAATCTTGAATGAATTGTTTGCCATAAATCGGACAAATAATAATTGCATAGAATTCAAGTAAAAACATGTCTCATTTAAAATTTTAATTTTAAAATTCCTTATCATTTTGTTACAATTCTTGATGATTTGTTTCCCATAACATCGAACGGAATTAATAATTGCATAGAATTCAAGTATGATTCCTAATTTATATCAAGGATTTTAATAAATGCATAGAATTTAAAAGATGTTTATTTATTATAAAAAAAATAAATTCTAAAAAAAAGTTGTATTAATTTTGTAAAATTTTTGTACAAAATGTTTTGCTTTAAATTTATTTACATAATTCAAATTAATTACATTAATAAATAATATTAACATACATTAATAAGAAGAAGACTACATCTATAACATTATAAATAATAATAATAGCATTATATCACAATAAGTTTTATAATAAAATAATATGAGTATTATACGAGGAACAAGATTACGTAAATTGTTATTTTTCTTATATCAAGAAATAAATATATATATATATATATAATGAAATCAAATTTATATTATTATAACCATGTTAACTAGATAATATATTAATTAATTTACGGGCTAGCACTACCAGACTCAAGTTTAATGTCCTGAAAAAAAAATAAAGTTGATGAAAAGAGGTAAAAAATAGATGATCAAACTCTATCATTTTTTAGGCCTGAATGGACAAGCCCGATGGTCTACTCATTTAATATCTCCCGTGAATCGCACGAGCTACTTAAAGGACAAACTTTGTAAAAATGACCCATTTAATACTTCTGTCCCGTACATCGCACGGGATACGTACTAGTATATTTAATAGTATGAGGTGTAAATTCATCTATTTTATTTAATGTCAAGGTGTCCAATACGAAGCCCTTTGCTAGAAGCCCAAGATAGAAATGGAAACAGCCCATATCCAGATGAGAAAAGTGCCCGTTCAGAAAGCAAGAGATAACTTGTGAACCACAAACATTCTGCGGCTTTGTGTTTCATCAGCCTTCACCACATCTCGATTTCAATGTCAATAATGGTTCTGTGAACTTCCATTTCATGGTAAAGCTGTATATCGGAGGAAGAAGTATTATGGGATGGGAGCCCAGAAAAGCATTCATGCTGGCAATGGTACTCTATTACTCACTGTATTTTATTTCGAACGCAAAATGCGAAATTTGATGAGTACAGCGATAAGATAACCCCATTGATTTTCTGACCTAATCCTTTTTTTTTGTTTGTCATATGTGTAGCTAAGATCGACTTCAATGTTGATTTCACGAACAAACTGTGTTCTAATTTGATGTTTGATCCTTTCAGGTGTTCAGTTTTTTTTGTTCTTTCTTTCTTCAACTGTAATGTATATGCAATATGAGGCAATGTCATCTAAATTGATTTTGATTGTCCCCCTCTGTACTCTTCTGTTGACAGAAATGCTGGTGAAGAGAGTCCTCTTTCACTTGTTATTGGAAGGTGACAAAAATAGTTTTCAGCATCAGTGGTTCATGGGAATTGAGTGTAATGGAATTTTTATTTAATTACCTTTGTTTTTTTATTTTTTTTGGCCAGCCTCTGCATCAAGCATCCAAATTTATTTGGAAAGAGTGAGAAGCTTGTTTTCTTGTGGGACAAAGGGCTCTGTGATTCCAACATAATGATCACATACCGTAAACCAAAGCCCGCATGCCTCTCGCAACATGCCTTCACCATTCAGGTTGCAATGTCATTTGCAGTTTGTTAATTGTAATTGATCTTTCTCTAGCTGGAGGCACAGCATTTGCTTTCGTCAAGTTGCTATATTTACTTATTAGTTTCTAATAGACAATCGCGTTCTGGATAAGGATATCCACAGGTTCTTGTAGGTATGCAGTTGTTCTTCATGTAGGACTATAGCTAGTTTATCTGGTTGTGAAAACCGTTTGTTGATTTACTAGTTTTCATCTATTATTCTGTTAGCCATTTGTGCTTGTCAAGGCTTATTATAAAGTGCCCTGTTGGGAAGTTCGAGCAATTTTTATGTCATGGCGTCAGCTAACATTAAGTAGTTTTACTATTCATTGAAAGAACCTCCTATAAACTTTTGAAAGTTTCATGTGCAATTTTGACTGGTTCTTGGTGTATTTAATTCTTTTTCGTTGCCCTCCAGCACTCTATTTCCCCAGAGTTAGGGATTCATGGCATCCCAGTCGATAACTTTTCCCGTTCGGGGGGAGGAGGTGTCAGTCTCTCTCGTACCTCTATTGGTGTGGACCTGAGTGAGCTCTTGACTTCCAATTTGAGCAGTAACACTAGTGCAAAGTTTGAGGTTCTGCTTGTACAACCATATATGAAGCTTATTGAATTGTAGTTTTAAAAAGTGAACTGAAATGAAGTGGTTTTTGATTTTTTTTTTTTCTAAATGCAAACTTCTATATTTCTGGTTTTACATAATGTATAATTTACGAGAAGGAGAAGCGTGTACAGACTTCTGGTGCTGTTTCTGCCGTTTCTTATACGTTAAACAAACTTTTTTAACTTATTCAATCTTCAATTTTTTTTCCGCAAATACTACCAGCTTTGGATTCTCAACTATTTTTAGTTTTTGCTTAAATAAGTAATAAATTATAATATGATACATCAACATCAATCTGAAACTATAACTTTATATAAGTACCAGTTTTGATTTTAAAACATCCCTCTTAACTATTGTTCCTGTTTGTTAGTTTATTGAAGTAAACATATTAAAATACTCCCCGTTCTTTTGCAAACTACGCGAGATGGTGAATGAATTTTGTGGCCCCCATATGTTGTCATCTATGTCTACAATTCAAACTACTTATCTCTTTCTAACATTCTCTAACTAATAAACCAATGCAGCATGTCCGGCCCATTAATGATGACGGTCGCTCTATAAGCAGAGACATTCATGGCTTTCCGGTGACTTGCAGGTGGATAAAGGTACTAATAACCCATTCAAATGATTTCGTGATACCTACTAACGAGGTTCACTTCTTTTGTTGCTTTTTACAACTTCAGTGGTGGTTTTCATGATAACATGCTAGTACTCAAACAAGAATTTTGTTACACAATGGAGAACAATCGCAGTTTTACTCGAGTAAGTACATTTTTTTTTTTTCCTCGCATATCTCAATGATTTGTCACCCGTACTTATTTAATTGGTTAGTCAGGTTGTGATTTATGCACCTTTTATGAAATCTTTTGAATGTAGTGTAGACTGCAAGTTGAACAAGGAATTCCTATTCTCACAAAGTGGCTGGCATTCAATCGGTACAAGTTT